GCCTCCCCTAGTGGCCTGGGTCTCTCTGAGCACACACTAGAGAATTAATGTCCCCCGGGAGCAGCTTGTCAACCAAAGATAGATGGAAACCCGCCCTCGATGGGACTACGGTGAGGCCTGTGTCTATGAGCCCCTTGATATAGGACAGCTATGAAGGGAGTTTTCACTGTCAGAGATTCCTAGTCGGTTGAGCCTCAGCTGCATCAACAGTGGTGCTGACCTGCTGGATAACAGGCCCCTCCTGGCTCCATACCTCCCATCTCACTTCTTGTACTTTTACCTGATCTACCTGTACTCGCATCTTGTATTTTTATTTTTTAGTGAAACTTTTGCTAAAGGGTGCACGCGCTTACTAGAGAGACAGAAAGCAAGAAATCACCCCCTGGGGGGATGACCCCACCACAGCCCCTTCTCCTCCTTTCTCCTATCGGGATTTTGGACATACACGCACACACGCCTGGCGTGAGTTTTAAGTCATTGGGTCTAAGATGCAAACCACAGGTGACTATGTGGGAGTCCAGCAACGTAACGATTATGCTATCTGCTTGTCTCAGTTTTTGTTTGTTTGTTTGCTTTCAAATTTGCTATAACACACTAGCCAGAGAGAGACTGTGAGGGGGGGGAGAAGGTGAGAAATCACCATCCCCCTCAATCCCAGGGGTGATGGTCATACTGCAATCCCTTCTTCTCCATTCTCCTCTTGGGATTTTGGGCACACACGCACACGCACCCAGTGTGTTTTCCAAGCTGCCGGGTCTGGGACTCGAACCATGCAGTCAGTCGGTCATATGGGATCCAGCCACCTTACCCACCACACTGCCTGGCTGACCCTATATTCACTTCTTTGACTAGGGAAACCCAACCTGGGGCAGTAGCATTATACCTGTGTGGTCTTCTTCAACAGTGTTCTTTCTACTGCCCCAGGATCTACTTTCCCCTACTTGGGTTATTCTTCCAGTCTTCTAACTAATTCCTCCAGGCCCCTCCTTGTGAACAGAGGACTTGTGTTCACCTCCAGAACAGGTGAGAGCCGTCAGCTGGCAACTGCCTCAACCTGCCCGTTGCTAACAGTTAGAGGGCCCGAGGTAGACAACCATCCATGGAGGCGTCTTCCCTGTTTCCTCATCCCCGAACGTATTCTCTTCCCACCCCTGGCAAACCCGAGTAAACAGCCTGGTGCACCTGCGTGTGGGCAGCTCCCACTTTGCATCCAGACTCTGTTTACAAGAGCCTGCAGGCAACTGCCTCTTGGCCGCCCTCAGACCAGAGGTGAAGTCCACCTTCAAGAGGTGGCCTTGCATACCAGATTCTAGGGCCGAGGCACCATGGTGTGTTGGAGAAGGGGAAGCATGGGCTTCGGGTGGGCACGGTTCCTTTTCCCAGCCTACAGCTAATAAAGCTGATCCTTCTGGAATGTGGGGCCCAGAGCAGGGGCCCTGGTTACTGGAGGTCAAGGGTGAAGCAGCCTATTCCTTCTCCCAATTCAATGAACCTTCCTGCATCTGCACCCATCCTCCCACCTGGGCAAAGGAGGATGTGCTCTTCTACCAGAGGCCAGTCCCTCTCCTGAGGTCTCCATTCAGAATTCAGGATCAGGATGAGTGGGAGGCAAGTGAAGGAGGTCTCAGCCTTTGGAATAAGTCTGGTCCTGCCACTCATTGGCCAAGCCTACATTTCTTCACTTGCAAGACAGGGTCCCAGTGTTTGTTTCATCTCCCTTCTGTGGTGGCACAGGGTTAGAGGAGAAAAACCAGGGGAGCGGGCTCAGCAAACGGAGCAGCAATACACACAGTGTAAGAGAGGTGAGCTGACCCGTAGCTTTGTGGTTAAGGGAGCCAGCTCCCACATGGCTGTCTGTGGTTTGAGTCCTGGCCCCAGCAGCCTGAAAAACCAGAGCTCAGACTCTTAACAGGATAGAGAAATAGAAGACAAGGGATTTTGCTATGACCATGGCTCCATTGAGGGGCGCTTTGTCCCTCTCCCCCTCTTTCTCCATCTCTCCGTCTCTCTTTGGCAGGTCCACACGCCTTTGGGAAATAACAAGAGAGAGAGAAAAGATAGTTTTACTCTTAGTTGAGATCCCGATTTAATGTTTTGTTTTGGGAAAACATGGGAAATCACCTCCCCAAGGGAGCTTACCATGCTGCAATCCCTTTTCCTCCATTCTCCTTTTGAAATTTTGGGCACCCACCTACACACATGCACCTGGCATGTTTTTTTTTTTTTTTTTTTTTGAGAGGTTTTTGCTATAGGGCATGTGAGCTTGCCAGACAGACAGAGAGAGAGAGACAGAAAGTGAGAAATCACCCCCTAGGGGGGATGGTCACGCCGCAATCCCTTCTCCTCCATTCTCCTCTCGGGATCTTGGGCTCGCATGCACATGTGCCTGGCGTGAGTTTTAAGCCACCGGGTCCGGGATGCGAACTGCGGTCGACTATGTGGGAGTCCAGCGACATAGCCATTACGCTAACTGCTGGTTCCCCACCTGGCATGATTTTTAAGCTGTAGAATCTGGCACTCAAATGGCCCAGGTAGCCATGCAGAATCTAGCTACTTTGACTCCCACACTACTGGCTGGCCCCTGATCGTATACATAGTTTATTTAAAAAGGTAGTGCCGAGAGCTTGAGGAAACCTCTCCTCTAGGCCTCAGCTAATGTCTTTGGACAGCCAGATAATTTGCTTTTGTCTCATCATTGGACAGTTACATAAGGATTTTTTTTTTTTCCCCATGTGTTGCATGAGAGCTAAGATTCTTAAGTGAAATATCTCAACCAGGAACCAAATGCCATTATCAAAAGGAGATTTTATCCTAATCCTTCAGAAGTAGCCTCAACCTATTAGATCAAACCCACCCAGAAGGCCCAGGGCACTATTAGTTCCTTCTATCTTAAAAAATTCTATTTCAGATGTAGATATAGCCTTTGAACAGTCGCTAACAGCAGGAAGAGGGAGAAAGGACTTGGGAGGTCAAGCGTAAATGTTAAATGAGATTCAAATAACACGGCTGAATTACTTGACCCCTCCAGCTAAGAAGGGCTTGTATTTTTTTATTTAATCTTTTTTTTTTTTTTTAATTGCTAGAGCGTGCATGTGCTTGCCAGAAAGAAGGAAGGAAGCACCCCCTTCCCCAAAAAGGGCACGGCATGGCAAACACTTCTCCATGTATCTGTCCTGTTGAGATTTGGACACATGTGCAAACGCACACCTGGCATGTTTATCACGCCTCCAGGGTGGGATTTGAACCATGTGGTTCGCTGTGTGAAATCCAGGTCCCTTAACCACTAAGGGCCAGCCCTGCTGTTTATTTATTTATTTATTTAGTTAGTTAGTTAGTTTTTTTTGCTATTGGGCACGTGTGCTCACTGGAGACGGAGACAGAGATAGAGAGAGAGAGGGAAAGTGAGAAAGCACCCCCAAGGGGGGATGGCTATGCCTCAGTCTCTTCTCCCCTACACTCTTCTCGGGATTTGGGGCACACATGCACACACCAGGTGGGTTTTTTTTTTTTTTCTGTTTTTTTTTGGAGGGAGAGGTTTTTGCTATAGGGCGCGTGCACTCACCAGACAGAGAGAGACAGAGAGACAGAAAATGAGAAATCACCCCCCAGGGGGATGGCCATGCCACAATCCCTTCTCCTCCATTCTCCTCTCGGAATCTTGGGCACGCACGCACACGGGCCCAGCATGAGTTTAAGCCACTGGGTCCGGGACTTGAACCACGGTCGTCTACGTGGGAGTCCAGCAACATAGCCATTAAGCGAACTGCTGGTTCCACACCTGGTGTGTTTTTCAAGCCATCAGGTCCAGGACTAGAGCCATGCAGCCAGCCATGGCGATCCAGCCAGTTAAAGTCCATGCCATCTGCTGACCTCAGCCCTGGTCATTTGTACAAAGAAGAATATGCTGCAGAGACCACGAGTGGCCCTCAAAGCGTAGAATATGGACTATTCGGCCCCTGACAGGGCAAGTCTGCTACACCTTATCCCCCACACTGACTGAAGAACTCACTGACTGACTTTCCTCGGCTTCATTCGACAGTTCTTCATGGGGTGGCCTCTCACCAATAAGGCCAATCTCACACTCCTAGTCAAGGCTGGGTGGGTATGGCATTCCCAGTCTTCTAGGAATAATTGAAGATGCCACTTGGGAATGGACTTAGCAAGGGCTAAGACAGCTTCCAGGACTACGTCTAAGGTCCTGAGTAATTTCAGTGAGGGGTTAGGATGGGGAACCAAATGAAACATGATATATATTCCAGACCCAAAGGAAGGGGCACAAATTCAGCTCAAGGAGATTTTCTCAAATCTTTGAGTTTTTTTTGCTAAAGGCCAGAAAAATCTGGGTTTCTTGGTCTTCATTAATTGGGTTGTCCAGAAAGTCCCGATGCATTTTTGCATAAAAAAAATGTCATTGGGACCAGCAGTTAGTGTAATGGCTATGTCACATGTAGTCGACCACGGTTCGAGTCCCGGACCCGGTGACTTACACTCACGCCAGGCACTTGTGCGTGTGTGCCCAAGATCCCAAGAGGAGAATGGAGGAGAAGGGATTGCGGCGTGGCCATCCCCCCTGGGGGGTGATTTCTCACTTTCTGTCTCTCTGTCTCTCTCTCTGATTTTCTGGCGAGCGCACACGCCCTATAGCAAAAACCTCTCAAAAAAAAAAAAAATGTCATGACTTTTCCAACAACCCAATATAATCAGGGTTGTAAAAGTGGAAATTGCACTAACTGATACATCTTTGGAACCTTCTGAAGTTCTTGGCTACAAAATTGAGCTTTGGTTCCTGCGATCAGAAGTCAAAACGAAACCACCCTGTCCTTAGAGAAGGTGCCCCAACTCTTCCTCTGTAGCCACAGCCACAAACCCTTTTGACATTTCTACTCCTTCTAGCTCCAGCCAGAGGCAGAAGGGATTTTTTTTTCCGTATAACTCATCATTTCAGAATCACTGATGACATCGCCCAGTTCTTCTCCTCCATGCCGGTCCTTCACACTCACCTTGGGTCCTGGAGGGAAGACCTCTTGCTGGTGGACCTGGATGAGGGTGATAGACAGCAGCACCACCACGCTGACAAACAGGACCACCAAGGCAATGATGGCCGGGGTCCTGGAGAGCGCCTTGAAGCCTAAAATGGGAAGAGTGGAAGATGTAAGGGAGAAGCAGGAGCCAGGCATAGGTGCAGAAGTCACTTCCTCTGGCTTTAGCGAGATCCCTGCTTTTATGGGGGGGAGGTTCTTTTTTTTCTTTTTCTTTTTTTTTTTTTTTGCTATAGGGTGCATGCGTTCACCAGACAGACAGAGAGAGACAGAGAGACAGAAAGCGAGAAAACACCCCCAGGGGGGATGGCCACGCTGCAATCCCTTCTCCTCCATTCTCCTCTCGGGATCTTGGGCACGCACGCACACGCGCCCGATGTGAGCTTAAGACACCAGGTCCGGGACTCGAATTGCAGTCGACTATGTGGGAGTCCAGCGACATAGCCATTACGCCAACTGCTGGTCCCAGCGAGATCTCTGCTTTTAAAGCAGAGTAGCAATTGGGCCCCAATACCCATGCACATTTATCCCAAAACTGTGGGTTCTAACGGTGTCTGTGGGGAGGGTGTGCATGGCCTCATTTTTTTTTTTTGAGAGATTTTTTGCAATAGGGTGCGTGTGCTCGCCAGACAGACAGAAAGAGACATAGAGACAGAAAGCAAGAAATCACCCCCCAGGGGGGATGGTCACGCCGCAATCCCTTCTCCTCCATTCTCCTCTCGGGATCTTGGGCATGCACGCACATGCGCCCAGCGTGAGTTTTAAGCCACCAGGTCCAGGACACGAACCGCAGTCGACTACATGGGAGTCCAGCGACACAGCCGTTATGCCAACTGCTGGTTCCCATGGCCTCATTTTTTGATAGTTCTCAAAGTGTATTACACACCTCACTGGTTATCCCTGAGATGATTTACCTGTTTTAATGTAGATTGAAAAAAATCCAGGTTTTCTATTAAAGCAGGTGATAGAATATGTCATTAAAAATAACCCGTTAAATAAAATAAATTAGTACTATATTATACTGAAACGATTCCATTTATGTAAAGTTCTGAACAGGCAGGACAGAAATCAAAACAGCAAGTGCCTTGAGCATTTGAGGTAGGGAGTCGCTGGGAAGGCATGTGTGTAAGTCCTTGCTGTGGTGATGGAAATGCTCTGTATCTTTAAGGGACCAGCAGTTGGCATAATGGCTATGTCGCTGGACTCCCATGTAGTCAACCGCGGTTCGAGTCCCAGACTCGTGGCTTAAACTCACGTAGGGTGCATGTGCGTGCCCAAGATCCCGAGAGGAGAATGGAAGAGAAGGGACTGCGGCATGGCCATTCCCCCCTGGGGGGTGATTTCTCGCTTTCTGTCTCTCTCTCTCTCTGTCTTTCTGGTGAGCACATGCGCCCTATAGCAAA